GTTATCTGTGGTGTTTTAGTAGTTAGTGTCAAAAACGGGTAGTTAGTGTCAAAAATGGTTTGTGTGTACTCGGAGTTGATGGATAATTTATGGTGAAGCATTTGTGTTATGGTGAAACAAGACAACATTTGTGTTAGTTCGTAGAAACTGTGTACAACGGACCCAAATGTGTTTGTTTACACATTGGTGGATAAAATATTGAACAGTTGTTGTAACATCGGGTATGTCAAAGTTGTTTTATTATTTAAAAACACAAATTAATTTTATTAATTAATAAAGGCAAAAGCAGTTGAATTTGTCGATATAAAATAGGTGCGATAAAATTCTATTTACATATGTATTTGTTTCCTAGCGAAAGTTTTTGTCCGTTTTTATCACACCGCCATGCCGGTCGCATTGTGCTTGTTCAGGTTTTACAGTGGACCAGTTTCCAGTGCCGTGCAGAAGTGTATTTTTAAATCATTTTCGAACTGCCCTTTTTGATTTTTTCTTTACAAAATTTTTTTTGGATAAGTTCTGAATCACCCTGTATAATTAAAATTATTTTTGTATACTTTTTTATTTCGGTTGCTCTGAAAAAATAAACACATAGTTATACCTACGTCTAGCCTTCTGTAATCAAATTTCTACTAGAAGGAAACGTTCTTATATAGGATTTCCTTATACTTATTCATTTGAATTCAAAGATGAGATTAAACGCCCCTACTAATATAAAGTTATTTATGTTTAAAAAAAATCAGCTAACAGCCGACATATATATTTCCATTCAAAAAAGCTTCTTTATATACCTATCCAAAGTTCATCGAAACTATAATTGTATTTCTCAAAGAACACTCAGTAATAGAAAACGAGTACATCAAATCTAAAATTGTAACTTAATGAATGTAACATCGAGTACAGTTATTTTTGTGAAAGTATTTATTAAATATTCTCTCTTACTTAAAGTTTAGCAATAAGACAAACTGACAATAGGTGGACTAATTTTAAGTAGAATTAAATAGACATTCTCACCTTGCAATAGACATCTCTAAACATATCTAGAGATAATATTTCATGCTATTTGACTTGACTGGAAATCGGATCAAGTTCGAATCAAGTAATAGTGTCCTAAATTCAAGTCTAGTCACATAGTTTGAAAAGTTCAAGCAGGTTTAAAAATATTAGGTTTTTAAAAATTTTATATGAAATTAAGAAATAGCTATAAGACTTATAAATTAGGTTTGTATTTACAAAACCAAATCCTGAATTTTAAATTTAATATCTTTATATAAAAATATCACAAAAATTTAAAGTGCAGGGTGATTCAGGTTTAATTTGGATAATTTCAGGAATCGATAGAATAGGTTAAAATAATGTTCATTCATGATATAAACTTTTTTCCTAAATCCCGTTTTTCCCGCATAACTTTTGAACCACTCATCCGATTGAAGTGAAATTCGGAACCCAAACACTCTTTATGATCTTACATAAGCTCCTTAAGTTTGCACCATCTACCCCTATTAGAAGTGTATTTTGTGTGCCTATCCACCTCTTACATTATTTCCAAACTTTAAAAAAATTGATTAATTTCAATAAAACAGCTGCACACCACCTTTGCCTCATTAATTTTGAAACTCTTTCGTCTCTTGTTTTTTTTTTTGGAGATTTGGCCTTGTTTCTGAGGCATTCAATGCACTTCGTGACAGTGTACTGTACTAACTAATTTTCCCAAATCAAATTTGTCATTAATTGCTTTAGTTTAGCAGATTCGGATTAGGACACCCTGTATATAGACATTTAGCTTTGCTTATTAAGCTGTACAAAATTATTTTCAATTTGCTTACATTATTTCGAGGTTAAGCAGTTGCCTGTTTGTTTGTTAATCGTAAAAACTGCTGTGGTTAGCCATGAAACGCTGTGGAAATTTAGTTTTTTTTCTCACGTTGGCCAATAACCCGTTTAACGAGAGTGATAACTGACATATTACATGTACAAGATTACCGAAAATAAATTATTCTGTAATTCCGTAGTCGCCCTTGCGACTAAAGACAACTAATTTAAGTTAAACATTGACTTGTGGATGCAAATTGACTATATTTGACGATTAAGTAACTGCCACAGATAGGAAATTTTTTGTTACTTAATGTGATGTGCAGATAAATTTTTTCGAGCGTATCCGTATACAGGGTGTTCATACCGGGAAATCTAGATGGAAACATGTATCTGAATCTACTGGAAACGATGATTGTGGAAGTATTGCAAAATGACAACGCTTTGCCAGAAGAGGATGTGTGGTTTCAGCAGGATGGTTTTGCGTGGTAACTGTGCGTGATTCTCAGAACTTTCCAAATAACTGGATAGGACGCATAGGTTCAATTGAGTGGCCTCCCTGATCGCCAGATCTAACGCCCTTAGACTTTTTTCTATGGGGACACTTAAATTCGAAAATTTATGTAATACGACCGAACTTACTTGAGTTAGATAACACCCGAAATGCTTCGAAATGTTTATTCGGATGTGGAGCAAAGGTTTTGATTTTTTATAAATATTATAACGCTTTAAAAAATTACAATTTGCCGAACTCACCCATATAAATATACTGTTTGTTACATCCCATGCGCAATATAATCTGTATGAAATGCAATTGTTGCATAAAACGTACAATTTGTAGCTTTATTCATTTTCCATTTGCGTCAAATAACACATCACTGATAAATGCAAAATATTCAGTTCTAAAAATAGTTTAAACAAATATAATTAATAAAAATATTTGGTGTGCATTATTGGAAAAGTTACTTTAATTTTGTAGAAAAATACGTATCTATGGGTATGTATTTATATTTTCTAGAAAAAAGTATATATGCCATAGTGGATTTTATGTTGTTTATTCTCATATATCCTTTTAATACAAAAAAGGAAAGATTTGACTGGATTAAAAAATTGAAAATAAATATTTAAAAAATTATAGGAATGCTTATGAAATGAGACCGGTTTCTTTAGAACTGACAAGCCTAAAAAATAATCAATTTTCCAAAAATTTTGTCGTTGATTAAAAATAATTTTAAAGTACCAACTTTTATTGGCCCATTTGACATTTTTGTTTTTAATTAACGTTTCCTAATTTATTAGTCTTTCTTACTACTTAAAAGTGCAACGCAAATTTATCAAAAGCAAAAAGGTAAGTTTCTCTGAGTTTAGATACCCTAGAATTTTTAACCACATTCAAATTTTAATAAATACGTATATACTATTATATTTATAGTAATATTTCAGTCAAAATAATGTTTAATAAGTTTAAATGTTCGGAAGTATATGTGCATAATTAAACTACAAAACTATTCAACATCTCTTCTTCCTGTTCCCATTGTAAATTCAGAACTATGAATTTAAAATAACAACTTCTTCCAAAAAAAATTAAGATTAATACTGTCTACTATACATTTCAAAGGTGTGTATTATTTGTAATTTAAATAACACGTAATTTATGGTAATATCTCTGTATAATGTGTTTTTAATTATATTTGAATTAACAGAAAGTTGCTACTGGATTATAAGTCAAAAACTAATTTTAAATTTCTGCTGCGTCTCTACAAATTTCAAAAGTGCTAGAAATTGTAGTAAGGATTAATTAGTTTTTAAGAATTTTAAAGATGTGTTATACGAGGTTTCTAATTTATTTAATCTACTTATATTAGAGAAATATTTTAGCATCGTTATAAATTAAGTAATAAATGAATTAATTTTGATTATATCTATTAATTATTGAAATATTTCATTCGAATTACTACTACGACTACTGAACGAGGTATACATAATATGTTGTCTTAAAGTATCAAAGTAAGTATTGTTATATCATGTTTTAGTTTTTCTTTTGAAAAAATATCAGCGCTGAGGAAATTTTAGACTTGAAAGTTGAAAAATAAAAATTTAACCTCAATTTTTACTATGCATTTTACAGTTTTTTGTTACGTATACGGTGTTTTATTATAGAATGGCGAGTTTTAAGTTTCAAGACTAGGAGAATATGCCCAGTGATTTATACGATTATTTATTATATGATTTACTAGAAGGTATTAGTGAAGAATAGGCTGAAAATTCCGAATATGACGGAGACAGCGAAGCGGAAGATGCAGTAGATTTTAGTTAACTTTCAGTTTCTACTCGAAGTACTCCAAGCATGCAAGCAGAACATTCTCCTAGTCAATCTCTTGGGTCACTTGATACTTCTAGCACTTCTGGATATAATATTTTGAGAAATAATAGAAGTAACCTCAGAAGAGCCGCATTAGCTAAAGTACCTTCAAATGTTTTTGAAGAATGTGAAAATACATTTAGCTCTGATGATTCAGTAGCTGATCCTAATTACGAAACCGATAAATCTTCAAGTTCAAGCTCAGTCATTGACAGTCCAAAATCAAAGAAAATATTTTCCCCCAAAGATTCAGTAACCCCTACTTCTAAAAATATTACTCAAGACGATCAGTCCGAAATTCCGTTAATTGACGAGGATGAAAATCCAGTAATAGAAGGGCAAAATGTCGAGGAATTATATCTAAATTGGACAAAGCATTGTATTGATCCATCTAAATATAAAGAAAGCCACTTTGACGAAGATTTTGGACCTACTCTCAAAGAAAATTTAGAGTCGCCAATAATATTATTTTACAATTTTTTCTCAGATGATCTGTTCCAGCTAATATTAGAAGAAACGCATAGATATGCAGCTCAGAAGGGCAAACATTTTCAATTGGAAAGAGAAGAGCTTGAAGCCTTTTTGGGAATTCTTATTATAATGGGTTTCCATAGCCTCCCTAGTATGAGATTATATTGGTCTGTAGATAACAATATGAAGTTTGATAGAGTTGCTAATATTATGTCACAAAAACGTTTTCTTAGCATACTTAGATTTCTTAGACAGATCATCTAAACAAGAAATTTTTACAGTCTTTCGTACCTTCCAGAAACATATCCGTTGATAAAAGTATGGTGGGCTTCAAGGGTCGGTCATCCTGAAGCAGTACATGCCGATGAAGCACACCAAACGGGGATTTAAAATTTGGACATTAGCTTGCCCCAAATCTCACTATTTAGTGAATTTCCAAATCTACGAAGGTAAAAATAACAATGACAAATTTGCAAGCCTTTCGCTAGGAGAGAAAACTGTTATGCACTTATGTGAACCATTTTTAGAAAAAGCTTATTGTGTCTATTTTGACAACTTTTTTAGCAGTTTTCGCTTACTTTCCAAATTGTATGATAAAAATACATTTGCTTGTGGCACATTTAGGACGAACCGAAAAAATTATCCCAAGGAATTATTAGCAGATGAGAAGGTGTTGAAAACTGGTCAGTCTGATTGTGCTATGTCTGACGACTTTTCATTGGCCAAACGGAAAGATCGTGGCAAGAAATCTGTTGTTGTGATAAGTTCCATGCATAACCCAAATGTAAAGGAAACGGTTTTGAGAACAAACAAAGTTGGAGATAGAGAATCTGTTAGTTGTCCCGCCTCGATCTATGACTACAACAAATTTATGGGTGCTGTTGATGGTTTCGATCAGCTAATGGCTTCATACCCAATTGAGTGGAAATCTAGACGCTGGTGGATTAAACTCTTTTACTATTTTTTAAATGCCGCTGTAACAAACTCATACATTTACAAAACAGCTCAAAAGAAAAACAATGTACATGCGAAACCAATGTCACATCTCAATTTCCGAAGCATGTTAGCAAATTGATTGATTGGATCTTTCACCAGTCGTAAGAGAAAAGCAAATGGAACTGTAGCAGGTATAAAAAGACTTAAAAACGATGATGGTCGTGCGATCATACTTGGCAATGCAATTCAATATACTGCAGTTGGAACACATTCGCCCATTCCAGGTACCTATAGGCGTTGTGCAAAATGTAGCACAAAAAGAAACCCAGTTCAATCTAAGATAATTTGTGAAGCATGTGATGTAGGACTCTGTTTAAAATGTTTCAAACCATTTCATGCGATTTCTTAGCGTATTATTATAACTATGTGTTTTAATAAATATTTTGGAAAAATTATTTATTTTATTTTAACCCTTTATAGGGCATTAACGCCTAGTCATTACATTGCCTAGTACATTAGATCGAGGTTGCATTATAATAACATAATATGATCCTTAATGGAAGGTGGTTAAAATAGAGACCACTACCCACTACTACTTAAATGGGCGGTGGTCAAAATGGTAACCACCCATTTTTTCGCTTAGTTGAGCCCTGACAAAAAAATTTGTTTAAGAAAAAATCGTTGAAATTATGACATCTCCTCAGATTACTAAAAGAAAACAAGTTCTTTGCATTCAAGTGAATGCCCTATAAAGGGTTAATGGAATTAATTGGAGCTAATATCATGTGGTGGTTTTCTTTTAATTTATTACACCCGTCTTCTATTCGTTGCAGTAGTTGTAGTCTTGTATATGTTGGAATAAAATAAACTTTTCAGATAACCCCAAACATAGAAGTCCAGGTGGTTTAGATATGGCAGTCTAGCTGGCCAAGACACTGGACCCTCTGCACCATCATGGTTGACAAAAGACATTTGGTCTTTTATCTATCCATCGCCCCATATATCATTAAACCATTTTTATATTACTCTCCCAGAATGCACCGGAGCAACATCCATTGTATCCAGCTATTTTGTCGTATATTTAATGGAACATCCTCTAATAATTCAAATAGATGGTTTTCTAGAAAGTTTAGAAATGACTGGAAATTTAGACGAAGTGGGAAGAAGAAAGGTCCACAAACTTTATTGCGAATTATTCCGAGCCACACGTCCACAGAAAATTCGTCTTGAAAAGATCTTGTCCAAATTTCATGAGGATTTTCTTGTGACCAAATATGCAGATTGTGAAAATTCACTACCCCTCGCCTTTGATAAATGTACATTTGTTATTATTTTTATTTAAGTCGTCCTTATTTGTAAAGATAGTGGGTTAGGCCTCCAGGGGAAACTAAAACGCGTAAGCAACTCTACCTCACAGGTGGTATGGAAACGAGTGTAAAGAATTTTGTTGATGTGCTTACAGATTCCACTTACTTTTAAGAATAAACATAAATATTCTTGTAATATTATGGTTAGAAATGTCCGCACAAAGTGATTGTATTGGTATGAATAACTTGAAAACGGCGAATCTTAGGGTAAAAATTCAAGTTACCTTTTTTACATATTTTGTGCATCATAATATAAATCTGTTACAATAACTTGTAAAAAATGCAGTGGCGTAGGTTTTTTTTTATAAAAAAGGGGGTTGACCCTGTCCAGTTGTACACCACTGGTTAAACCTTTAGAGTTCATATTTTAAGGAATACAAGGCCTACTATCATAGAATAACTGTACTAAATTTTATTGAAATCCATTAATAGATTCCTGAGATATAAACAAAAAATCAATTTTTTTAACAACTTTAACACCCTATATCTTTAAAACGGGGCCGTTCCAGACCTATGTTTATAAGGCAAACACATATTATTTTAAAGAGGTCTATCTGCCCTCGACGTTTTCTGCATAAAATTCGGACCACCCTGTATATCTGCAGTGTAAGTACACAAAGTCACATCATGAATAACGAAAGATGAAGTTCTGCGTTCAAGTAATAAATGAAGTTTCTGTGAATGACATCTTTATTTATAGTCGTCAATGACTAATGAGTTTGGTACAGAATGCATTATTACAATTTTTTATTTATTATTATTTATGTGACTTCACATGTATATTTGTTTGTTTGTATGTATGTTTAGTCCAAATCTTGCAAGCCAAATTTGAACCACTTCCTCTAAACTTACGACTTTGAAATTTTCCAAATGAAATAAAAAGAAAAAAATAAACCAAGAAGTTCATAAAACCCATAATGTTGTGTAACAGAAAGTGAAAAAAAAATAAAATAAATAAACAGACAAAAAAGTGTGATTACAATGTCTTCATTATAAAGTGTTGCACCAAGCGTTCATTATGCATTTTACGTTTGGCATCAAAGTAGGTTATTTGGTAGTTAAGGAAAGTTGTAAAAAAAATAATGTTGATATATGTCATAACAAATTGNTACTTAAAAGTGCAACGCAAATTTATCAAAAGCAAAAAGGTAAGTTTCTCTGAGTTTAGATACCCTAGAATTTTTAACCACATTCAAATTTTAATAAATACGTATATACTATTATATTTATAGTAATATTTCAGTCAAAATAATGTTTAATAAGTTTAAATGTTCGGAAGTATATGTGCATAATTAAACTACAAAACTATTCAACATCTCTTCTTCCTGTTCCCATTGTAAATTCAGAACTATGAATTTAAAATAACAACTTCTTCCAAAAAAAATTAAGATTAATACTGTCTACTATACATTTCAAAGGTGTGTATCATTTGTAATTTAAATAACACGTAATTTATGGTAATATCTCTGTATAATGTGTTTTTAATTATATTTGAATTAACAGAAAGTTGCTACTGGATTATAAGTCAAAAACTAATTTTAAATTTCTGCTGCGTCTCTACAAATTTCATAAGTGCTAGAAATTGTAGTAAGGATTAATTAGTTTTTAAGAATTTTAAAGATGTGTTATACGAGGTTTCTAATTTATTTAATCTACTTATATTAGAGAAATATTTTAGCATCGTTATAAATTAAGTAATAATTGAATTAATTTTGATTATATCTATTAATTCTTGAAATATTTCATTCGAATTACTACTACGACTACTGAACGAGGTATACATAATATGTTGTCTTAGAGTATCTCAAGGTATAGTAAATTACATAACTAAAAATTTAAGAATTCTATATGAATGATTNATTCTTGAAATATTTCATTCGAATTACTACTACGACTACTGAACGAGGTATACATAATATGTTGTCTTAAAGTATCAAAGTAAGTATTGTTATATCATGTTTTAGTTTTTCTTTTGAAAAAATATCAGCGCTGAGGAAATTTTAGACTTGAAAGTTGAAAAATAAAAATTTAACCTCAATTTTTACTATGCATTTTACAGTTTTTTGTTACGTATACGGTGTTTTATTATAGAATGGCGAGTTTTAAGTTTCAAGACTAGGAGAATATGCCCAGTGATTTATACGATTATTTATTATATGATTTACTAGAAGGTATTAGTGAAGAATAGGCTGAAAATTCCGAATATGACGGAGACAGCGAAGCGGAAGATGCAGTAGATTTTAGTTAACTTTCAGTTTCTACTCGAAGTACTCCAAGCATGCAGGCAGAACATTCTCCTAGTCAATCTCTTGGGTCACTTGATACTTCTAGCACTTCTGGATATAATATTTTGAAAAATAATAGAAGTAACCTCAGAAGAGCCGCATTAGCTAAAGTACCTTCAAATGTTTTTGAAGAATGTGAAAATGCATTTAGCTCTGATGATTCAGTAGCTGATCCTAATTACGAAACCGATAAATCTTCAAGTTCAAGCTCAGTCATTGACAGTCCAAAATCAAAGAAAATATTTTCCCCCAAAGATTCAGTAACCCCTACTTCTAAAAATATTACCCAAGACGATCAGTCCGAAATTCCGTTGACTGACGAGGATGAAAATCCAGTAATAGAAGGGCAAAATGTCGAGGAATTATATCTAAATTGGACAAAGTATTGTATTGATCTATCTAAATATAAAGAGAGCCACTTTGACGAAGATTTTGGACCTACTCTCAAAGAAAATATAGAGTCACCAATAATATTATTTTACAATTTTTTCTCAGATGATCTGTTCCAGCTAATATTAGAAGAAACGCATAGATATGCAGCTCAGAAGAGCAAAGATTTTCAATTGGAAAGAGAAGAGCTTGAAGCCTTTTTGGGAATTTTTATTATAATGGGTTTCCATAGCCTCCCTAGTATGAGATTATATTGGTCTGTAGATAACAATATGAAGTCTGATAGAGTTGCTAATATTATGTCACAAAAACGTTTTCTTAGCATACTTAGATTTCTTCACCTAAATGATAATGAGAAGATGCCCAAACGAGGGAGGAACCACTGAGTTTGACAAATTATATAAGGTGCGTCCGTTAGTAGATCATCTAAACAAGAAATTTTTAGTCTTTCGTACCTTCCAGAAACATATCCGTTGATGAAAGTATGGTGGGCTTCAAGGGTCGGTCATCTCTAAAGCAGTACATGCCGATGAAGCCCACCAAACGGGGATTTAAAATTTGGGCATTAGCTTGCTCCAAATCTCACTATTTAGTGAATTTCCAAATCTACGAAGGTAAAAATAACAATAACAAATTTGCAAGCCTTTCGCTAGGAGAGAAAACTGTTATGCACTTATGTGAACCATTTTTAGAAAAAGCTTATTGTGTCTATTTTGACAACTTTTTTAGCAGTTTTCGCTTACTTTCCAAATTGTATGATAAAAACACATTTGCTTGTGGCACATTTAGGACGAACCGAAAAAATTACCCCAAGGAATTATTAGCAGATGAGAAGGTGTTGAAAACTGGTCAGTCTGATTGTGATATGTCTGACGACATTTCAGTGGCCAAATGGAAAGATCGTGGCAAGAAATCTGTTGTTGTGATAAGTTCGATGCATAACCCAAATGTAAAGGAAACTGTTTTGAGAACAAAGTTGGAGATAGAGAATCTGTTAGTTGTCCCGCCTCGATCTATGACTACAACAAATTTATGGGTGCTGTTGATAGTTTCGATCAGCTAATGGCTTCATACCCAATTGCGTGGAAATCTAGACGCTGGTGGATTAAACTCTTTTACTATTTTTTAAATGCCGCTGTAACAAACTCATACATTATTTACAAAACAGCTCAAAAGAAAAACAATGTACATGCGAAACCAATGTCATATCTCAATTTCCGAAGCATGTTAGCAAATGGATTGATTGGGTCTTTCACCAGTCGTAAGAGAAAAGCAAGTGGAACTGTAGCAGGTATAAAAAGACTTAAAAAGGACGATGGTCGTGCGATCATACTTGGCAATGCAATTCAATATACTGCAGTTGGAACACATTTGCCCATTCCAGGTACCTATAGACGTTGTGCAAAATGTAGCACAAAAAGAAATCCAGTTCGATCTAAGATAACTTGTGAAGCATGTGATGTAGAACTCTGCTTAAAATGTTTCAAACCATTTCATGCGATTTCTTAGCGTATTATTATAACTATGTGTTTTAATAAATATTTTGGAAAAATTATTTATTTTATTTTAACCCTTTATAGGGCATTAACGCCTAGTCATTACATTGCCTAGTACATTAGATCGAGGTTGCATTATAATAACATAATATGATCCTTAATGGAAGGTGGTTAAAATAGAGACCACTACCCACTACAACTTAAATAGGCGGTGGTCAAAATGGTAACCACCCATTTTTTCGCTTAGTTGAGCCGTGACAAAAAAATTTGTTTAAGAAAAAATCGTTGAAGTTATGACATCTCAGATTACTAAAAAAAACAAGTTCTTTGCATTCAAGTTAATGCCCTATAAAGGGTTAACCTGTAAATATTTCCAGTCGTTTAGTAGTGGGTAGAAATAAATTGACACGATTTTTATTTGTACATAGTTTTAAAATTTTCATTGCGAATAAATACAGTAAAGATAATAGGTGTATTTCTTTCAAAATCGAAGTAAACTGATCAAATTCCGAACTAGCAAAAACGCTGATCCTGTTTTGTCGAAATACACAAATAATTCGGTTTAATTTTATATTTGAAATAAAACTACACTGAGAAAACTACTCTCTGCCGTTTTCACCCAAAAGAAATACAGCTGACCCCTGGAATTTACTTTCTTCACTGCAGCTACCTGTGCACTTTACTCTTAACCGAGGGTAAGAGTTACGTGGAGAGTTTCCCCCATGTAAAATATAGAGAAACTGGCGCCCGATACTAACCGAGAATAGCAACCGGATTTCATCCCTGTGACGTTACTCATTCCCCCTGGCCGCCGATACATTCCGTTAGTCGAAGGAGCGTCACGAAAATCGGCGACCGTCCATTCATTCAAATTCCGGCAAAATACACCTAAAAAACGAGAAAATGGCAATACGTCAGGTACACGTCCACATGCACGATGATGAGTTGTCCGGCCTATACGTCCATCGCAGTATCTTGCTATCACATAATTGTATACGAAAAGAGAAGGGTAATCAAATAATAAAAACTCCAATTTGCGGTCACCGGTTTTTTGTTCTGAAAATATTTCTATTTTCTATCCTCTACATATTATTATGTACATATTTACACAAAAGGAGGATGGCAAGTGGTTGTACAAATTTATAACATTTGCATTTTAGTACTTATATGGATTCAGACTAGAGCAGGTGCGAATGTAGTTATTTCTTGTGTAGATCTATGAGCTGTTAACTTTTATTGTTTTCTACGAAATATTTTATTTGTGGACTTTACTATTTTTTAAATTAAAGAAAAAAACATTAAGAGTAAGTATTACAATTTGCTAGGCATAGTTGTATTTAGTACTAAATNATAAAGCAGTCTCCAGCCTAAAACAGAGGTTATTGCAAAATACTTAACGTTTTTATCTCACGTCAACATGACAGATCTCATAAAATTAAATAAAAGGAAGGCTATTTTAAAAGGCCAATTAACTCGTTTTTGTAACTTTTTAAATGCATTCAATACCGATACGGATTCAATGATTGTGCTACAAACACGGCTAGACACAATAAAAGATATTCACACGGAATTTGACAATATTCAGTCTGAAATAGAGTTCGCTAGCGAGGACGATCAAGTAGAAATGCACCAAAATGAAAGAGTAGATTTCGAAAATAAATACTTTGAAGCTATTGCACGTAGTAAACAAATTATTGGAGAATTGGTTAGTCAAAGCGATTCACTCACAAGGGCATCTCCCATAAGAGACTTCAATATTAAATTGCCGCCAATTAATCTGCCTGAGTTTGACGGAGATTATGAAAAATGGTCACCTTTTGCTGATACATTCAAAGCGGTAGTTCATGACAATTCCTCTTTAAATAAAGTTCAAAAGCATCAATATTTAGTATCATGTTTGAAGGGTTCGGCGGCAAAGGTCATAAGTGGTTTAAGCATTGCAGACAAAAATTACGATTCGGCATGGAAACTTTTAAGCGAGCGGTATGAAGACACGAAATCAATAATAAACTCTCACCTCAAAGCAATATTTATGTTACCTAGTAGTATTAGAGACACTCACATATCTCTTAGAATGTTATTAGATGATTTTCTTGTGCATTACCACGCATTAAAAAATCTAGGCGAAGACATAGATCATTGGGATTCAATATTAATCTTTTGTTAACTGGTAAAATGGATAATAAATCAAATGAAGAATTCGAAAGGTACACAAAAAATATCAAAATAGTAAAAATACAGTCCACTAAACATAATACAATATCTTTAATTCAACACACAATCAATCCCGAGCTGCAAGAGCCCATAAGACGGGTTTGTAGCCAACAATAAAGGATTCATTCTGACTGACCAATTTCAAACCACGTATGGTAGTTGTACTGTCAATTATAAACAAAAACTGTTTTCTTTTGATATTTTTTTTTATAAATATGGTTCGTGCCCATTTCCAAGTTTAAGAACCATAGTTATTGGAACGGCTCCTGCATTAATAAAACAAGCTTCTATTGATGACAGATATGGATATAACTTTTACTAGAACGATAGTTAACTCATTTCAGTCTTCTACACTTAATTTACGGTTTAGAGTGAATAAATTTGGGGCATATTTAAATTGCATTAAAATCTATAGTCAGTACTTTTAGTATTTTACCACAAAGATTTCATCAGAGTGCTAAGCATATCTGAACTACGTACCTTAACGTTTACGTAAATATTGATAATTATACAGTAAATATACAAATATTACAAAAGGCATTGTTACTAAGCTTATGGGCTTAACTAGATAGGTTAAGTATAGCGACATAGATTTTAATTGGTGATAAGATTGTATGATATATAATTTATTACATATTTTATATAACAAAAGGTCACAAATAGAACGCTTTGAGAAGGAAAAAAGTAACTTTATTATTCAATTCTATTTTTGAAAAGTTTAAAAAGAATTTACTGTTTATTGGTATCTACAATTTAAAAACACAAAGCCGGTAGTAAAATGGCAATTTTCAAAAATCGTCTTTATGTTTAAAATCTCTAAAGATCTCTAGTGGGTGGACAACTACATTAAACTAGACTTTGGTCTTTCTTATAACTGATATACTAGATGATAATAAGCTTTTGTATCTATTGGAGCACTTTGGTGATGCACATATGAGAACCTCGGGCATTATAGTATAGAAAAAAGAAACCAGGGAAACTTTAGATCGTTCAGTTATCAATTTAATGGAGATCGCAGATCGGTTCCAGTTGTTCAGGTTTTCGAGATATTTTGCACAAAAGGAATTTTATTGTATTTACTTAAGAATTTTCGCAATCTGTAAAAACTATTACCTTAACATTTTGCATAGAATTAGCCTGTACCCAGGTTTTTTGTAGGATTAAGAGAAAACGTAGTTATTCCTTCGTAACTTTTTTTGAGTTTTTTTCGGCACCTTATTGATATTTTTTTGTACCCATGTCACGTCATTAAAAATAATAAAAATTCAATATGCTACCTAAAAAAAGTAATTTCTAATTGATGATGGTTACTCGAAATCGTAACGGGTGTAACTATTTGCAAAAAGTTGTAACAAAATTTTTACATATTTTTAAAATAGTACAAATAAAGAAATTGTTTTTTTTTAATATCTCTAGCTGGAGTGCAATTAAGTTGATAACAAAATGGTTTAAAACTTTCCTCATTTAACCGTTTTTCTTTCCTACATCCTAGTTTTCTAAATTTCATTACATGCGTCATAAAATTGACCCCTGGTATATTAGTAAATATAATATTATTATTATTAGTGAAAAATTATTTCGTAAAGAGTAACGTACTTCACTTAAATATATACAGAACGTTTCTAAAATATGATGCCAAACTGTAAACATGGGTTAATCCAAATAACCCCTGCATCAGATCTATCTGAAACTTGGCCAAATAGGTAGGCCATAATAAATTACCATAATAGGTAGGTTTCCTTATTAACACTTTGAGAGATGAGTAATTGACGTTAAGTTTTTACCGTTAAAAGAATTTTATGTGACATTTTCTGTAAAATAATTATCTTTAAAATGTATTTTTCAAAGCGTAAGGTATTCTTATTTGATTTCCCTCTCCGAGAAAATTGACAATAAAAATTAATAACACGTATTCAAACCAATTCAAAAGTATCATAAATTGCTTTCTAGTTCTGCCGGTACGTTACCAATATAAAAGAAATACCTATAGAAACACAATAATCTGTTCTTTGCCAGGTACAAATAAGAATACATTTTTTTATTTACTCGAAAGTTTCAATAGCTAGATAAGTTATAAATGTTGCACTTAAGAATTCTGCCAGCAGTTATTTTACTTAGCATATTCCTATTTTTCGTCAGTAAAATTTAAAAACACTTCCTGCAATTTTTATTATTGAAGCCTGTACGATATAGTAAATTATTAACCTCGAGCAAGAGTACATATATTTTTATGCCTTTCCACTATTTTAATAGAAATACCTTTGATCAAAACCCTCAATTATATTTCTGACATCTTGAACGATGCAAAAACTGTTATCATGATATTTTAATCCTCATGTTATATAATTACGGT